TTGGCTCCGCATTCAAGGATCACTCTTGGCAGTGCTCGAGGCACTATACGAGATGCTGGGGTTCGAATCCTGGTCAGACAACCAGAGACACAACTCACTGAACCTTTGCTCCAGCAACCGCCCCCCCACCAACACTTTCTGGGTTTTTCTGTTTTTTTCTTCCTTCTGGTAGATTGAAAGAAGGTGGATATGGCCAGGGAGGTCACAGAGAGCGTAAGGTGCTTGCTCTGCACAGGCCAGCCTGGGTAGATCCCTGACACGGCAGGGGTCCCCTGAGCATACATCAGGAGTGATCCCTGAGCACAGCTGCCCATGGCTCGGAAACCAAAACAACAAAGGCGCCGGCTGAGACCAGCTCAGCACAGGGAGAGACAGTCCGGACGAGGTCTTAGGGGCTTTTCCAGGACCAGCACCAGTGCAGAGGCCTGGGGAAGGTGGGGCAGGGCCGAGGGGTCTGAGGATGCAGAGGAAGAAGGGACCGGGCAGGGGATCACCCAAGGCTCCCTGCAGGAAGGTCGAGGTCCCACGGAGGCGCCAGCCCAGGGCCAGAGTTCTGGTTTTAGGTGTTGTCCGAAACGCGGGATTCCAGGGGTGGGAAGGTCGCGGTGGGGAGCCAGGGACCAAACAGGAAGGAGGGATCCAACTCACAAGGTCAGGGGGAGGTCAGGAAGCAGCTGAGCAGCCGTGCTGGGATTTATTATGTTTACTTTGTGATTCTATTAGGGAGCCGGCCTCGCTCCGAGCAGTGCTCGGTTTACTGCTTCCTGAGCATCGCATGAAAGGAGCGCTCCTCCGTAATGACGGTCTGCCCGGCTGACTCAACAGGGGTCAGCGGGGCAGCTGGGGTGAGCCGCCCGCGTGGACAGTCGCCCAACCCCCATCCGGCGAAAGGGTAGCGGGGAGGGAGTTTGCTCTGCATGCCCGGCGTTCGATGCCCGGCATCCGAGCCACAGCCAGGAGTGATTCCTGAGTGCAGAGCCAGGAGTCGGCCCTGAGCGCCGCCTAAAAACGGCGAGAGATAGAGAGAAAGATCCCATATGAGAACAGAGGCAGCAGGTGGGAGTGCGGGAAGAGCAGAGGGCGGGGGCACAGGAACTTCTGCAGTGGGGACGTCGCTCCTGGAGCAGCTCCTGGCCCAGCACAGTCTGTGCTGCTAAGAATTAGCCAGAAAGGGATACTTCTAGCTCAGAAGAGCTAAACCAAACCCCTCTGCGGTTCCCCGCCCTCCTTGCCCCAGGGCCACAGCATCAGCAGGAGCATCAGCCCGGCCCTCGAAGGCAGGTTCCTGGGAAAGCCTCCCCATCCCTCCAGTGAGGTTCCCGGACCTTTCGGGAAGATCCGCCTCGACAAGCCCCGCCCCCATCAGGCCCCACCCCTGCGCTCAATCCCACTGTAACCATCAACGCCCCGCCTCCACCAGGCCCCGCCCTCACACCAAGGCCCCGCCTCCACCAGGCCCCGCCCCCACACCAAGGCCCCGCCCCCACACCAAGGCCCCGCCCCCATCAGGCCTCGCCCCACATCGATGTCCCGCCCCCACAAGGCCCCACCCCCACACCAAGGCCCCGCCTCTAGCCCTCAACTTTCTTTTGATCTTGAGCCAGAGCACTTGTCCATAATGTGTGCTCAGAGCCCTCAGACCCCTTCAGGGTCACTACGAAATAACTTATTTCCGGTGTTATTGATTGGTTCTCATCAGTACTTCTCGACATGAATGCTTTCTGGAGCCTGCGGGCGTTTGTTTCCGTAGGTTTGGGTGGGCAGCATTCTCTCCCTGACTCCTCCATTGTCTACAGCATCCCCCCAAGCCCTCGTTCCCAGCATCCCCCCAAGCCCTCGTTCCCAGCATCCCCCCAGCCCTCGTTCCCGCCCACCATCGTTAGCCTTTCACACGTCCTCCGCTTCACCAGGAACCTGTCCATGGCTCGGGGATCCCCAGCGCACTCCGAGAATCAATCATTCTGGACTAAGTACCTCGCACTAAGTACTTCGCTGGCCAGCTTGGCCACTCGACGACTAACAAACGGTTATGCACTCCACGGAACGGTAAGAGTGGCTGTGAAAAATGCCTCCAGGACCCGGGGATGATGTTACTTTCCACAGCAATGAAAGCAGGAGTGGTCTAGCAGAAGCCCCCTACAGACATGTCTAGGCTTTGGGCCTCCCCTGACTGTGCTCTGGGATCACTCCTATGGAAGCTCGGGGGACCAAATGGGGTGCGAGAGATCAAACCTGGGTCAGCCATGTGCTAGACACTGTACTGTCCCTCCCACCCCCTATTTTTTTTTTTAACTTCTTGTAAGTATTTATTTAGCTAAAAGCTTTTATGAGCGGCCAGAGAGATAGTGCAGCGGGGAGAATGTTTGTTTTGCATGCATGACCGACCTGAGTTCAATCCCGGGTACCCCATATGGTCCCCTGAGCATCACCAGGTGTGACTCATGAGTGCAGAGCCAGGAGTAGTCCCTGAGCACCGCCAGGGGTGGCCCCCCACAAAACAAATAAATAAAAATAAAAACTTTTATTCCACGCGGCTGACACTAGTTGGATCTCTGACACTGGCTACAGGTCCCAGAGTACTGCCAGGAATAAGCCCTGAGCTCATGTGGGTGTTGTGTTTGAGGTGTCAAGGACTGAACCCAGGCATCATGCAGGCAAGTCACGCCTTTACCAGTGAGTACATCCCCAGCCCCAGAAACATTTATCTTGGTAATATCTGTGGTTGCTACCTGTGAATAGTCTATTCTATTGCTCTCTCTTTTTGTCTGATTGTCTGATGTCCTCAGGTACATTTAAATTCCTCAAAGGGAATTCTGAGGTCCACAGATGAGTTTCAGAGTGTCTGAGGGACCCCCTGGAACCACACACAAAGGCCCAGAAACACCTTGCAAGATGTGGGTCCACACCTCCTCCACCATCTCCAAGGTGCATTTAAAACTCTGCCAGAAACACCACCTGCGCTTGAATATTCACTGCAGCACTGTCCACAATAGCCAGAATCTGGAAACAACCCGAGTGCCTGAGAACAGATGACTGGGTAAAGAAAATATGGTACATCTACACAGTGGAATACTAGGCAGCTGTGAGGAAAAAATGAACTCATGAAATTTGCCTATGAATGGATGGACATGGACAGGATCATGCTGAGTGAAATGAGTCAGAAGGAGAGGAACAGCTATAGATGACTGCCTTCATTTGTAGTGTATGGAAAATAGTACGAGACTAATATTCAAGGTCAAGGAAAACAGGGGGCCAGGAGGAATGGTCGATGACAGGAATCTACCACAACTGTGTGTGGGGCAGAGGGTAGGTAAGATAAAGAAGAAACCGGTATGACAGTAATAGTTGGAAATGATCACGCTGGAGAAGAACTGTGTTGAAAATAGGTCAAGGGATATATAACTTTTCAGTATCTGGGGGCTGGAGAGATAGCACAGCGGGTAGGGCGTTTGCCTTGCACACGGCCGACCCGGGTTCGATTCCCAGCTTCCCATATGGTCCCCTGAGCACCGCCAGGAGTAACTCCTAGGTGCAGAGCCAGGAGTAACCCCTGTGCATCGCCAGGTGTGACCCAAAAAGCAAAAACAAAAAACAAAAAAACTTTTCAGTATCTGTATTGCAAACCACAGTGCCCAAAAGGAGAGAAAAAGAGAGAGAGGAGAAGAGAAGAGAGAGAAGGAATGAGAGAGAGAGAGAGAGAGAGGGAAAGAGAAGGAGGGGGAGAGAGAGAGAAGGAGGGAGGGAGAGAGAAGAGAGAAAAAGGGAGGGAGAGAGAGAGAGAGAGAGAGAGAGAGAGAGAGAGAGAGAGAGAGAGAGAGAAAGAGCAAAAGCCTTTCCACGGAGGCAATTTGGGTGGGGAGCTGGGGTGATGGGAGGGAACCTGGGACACTCATGACTGAAATCCCAATCATGAACAGTTTTGTAAGGGTCTCTCATAGTGATTTAATAAAAAAAATTTTTCAAAAACACCCAACTCCTTATCCTCCATGATGCTATTTGATTCATGGGCTTTCAGCACCCTGTGACCTCTGCTCCAGGAAGGGAAAAAAATGCAGCCTTAAGATACTGATTTCCCTCCGCCTGCTGCCCCTTGGCGGCTCGGTGGCCGTCATCCTCCAGAGGCCATTGGACAGTCAGATCTGGGCCTGCAGTGACGAAACTTGTTGGACCTCACAGGATGCGGGTGGAGCCGGTCCTGGTCTCCCTGTCCCAACGAGACCCCAAGTCATCGCCCACGAACGGCCTCTCTGGCTCCTGATCAAGCTGCTCAATGGCCACGATCCCAGAGACTCAGGAGCAAATCTCGAATCCCAGTGGCTTTTGGCAGAAATTCCTCCAGATTTAAGTGTTAAAACATCAGAATTTTTGGGACTGGAGCAATAGCACAGTGGGTAGGGTGTTTGCCTTGCACATGGTTGACCCAGGTTCAATTCCCAGCATCCCATATGGTCCCCTGAGCACCGCCAGGAATGATTCCTGAGTGCACGAACCAGGAGTAACCCCTGTGCATCACCAAGTGTGACCCAAAAAGGAAAAAAAAAATTTTGTAATTTCAAAATCACATGGCCCTACTGCAGCCACACAACATCATATGTTATTCATAACCAGCAATAGAACACAAATTGTGTACTGTTGCCTTTTCAGCAGATCTGAGTGTTGGGGTAAAATCTCACATAATAATGGTGGGTCTGGTGTCGAAATATTGAATATGATCAACGTAGAGAGTAGTGTGGAAATCATCTGCCCCACAGGTAGGGGGAGGGTGTGGGATGGGGGTATACTGGGTTTTTGGTGGTGGAGAATGGGCACTGGTGAAGGTACGGGTGTTTCATTGTATGACCGAGACTCAGACCCGAAAGCTTTGTAACTGCTCTCACGGTGATTGAATAAATAAAATTATAAAAAATGAAAAAAAAATAAGGTGGAGTTCATGCACAATTCAATCAGCTAATCAATGGTTGAATAAATAGCAGTACTCTTATATTAAAAAAAAAAAATACCGATTTCCTCTCCTGCTTCAGTTCCTGGACATAGCGCGCCAGCTCTGCCGTGATGTGTGATGTCATGTTCTCGGAGATGACTTCATGCTGCCCGGCGTAATCGTTCATCTCATTCAGGGTGGAAATGAAGGCTTTGCATGCCGTGTACCTGCAGCCAGAACACACAGCCAGCATTCAAACAAGGCTACGAGGAGGCCCCCAGAGGCCAAAGAGCGATTAAAATCAAGGTAATTTGCATTGCCCAGCCCAAGGGAGTGTGACAGTTGATTACACATCAGAGTGTTCTCATCGGAAGGGCTCAGAATTAATTAGAACCCGGACACTTCATCTTGTGAACCCTGATGGCTGGGCGGAGGGAGAGGTTTGGCTCTGCTGACGGTCTGCCCTTCCCAACTCCCAAAGCGGGGGTATCAATCTTGGGAAGTTCAAATGCAATGTGCACGTGAAAATGCTTTAATTAAGATGAACTGGACAGGGGCTGGAGTGATAGATAGCACAGCAGGTAGGGTGTTTGCCTTGCATGCAGCCGACTCGCGATTCCCAGCATCCCATGTGGTCCCCCGAGCACTGCCAGGAGTAATTCCTGAGTGCAGACCCAGGAGTAACCCTGGGCATCACCGGGTGTGACCCAAAAAGCAAAAAAAAAAAAAAAAGAGGAGTGGACATAGGACAGAGGGTAAGACACTTCCCTTGCTCACAGCTGACCCAGGGTTCGATCCCCAGCACCCCATAGATTCCTTGAGCAAGCCCTGAGCACCGCCAGGTGTGGCCCAGCCCGCCTTCCCATACTGAATAAAAGTGAAATGGACAAATTTCTCAGAAGAGTGGGTGGTGTCAGATGACAGCAGCAAGTAGGACACCCAACTTCCTGTTTCTGCCCCCCATGTTCTAAACTTTCCCTAAGTACTTGCATAAAAATGATCTCAAATAGGTCAAGTGACTTAGAAGAAAAGTTGGAGGCCAGAGCACTAGGACATGGACAGGGGGGTTTCCTTATGAACGCTGAGTCCCAGCCCCACAGAGGGTCCCTCTGAGCACCATCAGGAGTGATCCCAGAGCACAGCACCAGGAGTGCAGGGCGTGACCCAAACCCCTCCCCGGCAAGGAAGAGAAAAGTTAGGTTTGGGGTTAGAGGTGGAGGCAAGCCCCACGCAGTGCTCAGGGTTTACTCCTGACTCTGCGCCCAGGGATGCACTTCGGGCAAGCACGGGCGACCCTAGGGGTGCTAGGGACCCAACCTGGGTTGGTCAAGTGCCAGACAAGTGCCCTCTCTGCTGTGCTCTCTCCCCAGCCCAAAAGCTAGCAGGTTTTTATTGTCCTCGCCATCAGTCAGTAACAGCACAAAAATGAAAAAAAAAAATGACCTAATAAAAATGAGTGGGGGTGGGCAAGAGAGACTGGACAGGGATTAAGGTGCCTCCTTGCCCATGGTCACTCGGGTTGGGCCCCCGCCATGACATATGGTCCTCTGAGTACCGCCAGGAGGGATCCCGGAGCACTGAGCCAGAAGTCAGCCCTGATGAGCACCACCGGCTGTGAGCCCACCCACTCCCCCCAAGTGAACGAGGCAGCGGGGATGTCGTTCAGTGACACAGCACGAACCGTAGCTGAGTCCCCCGGAAACCCTGACCCCTCGCCCCCGCACTGCCGGTTGGTGGACCCCACAACTAAATGAGTTTAACGATGGCAGATGAACGGGGAATATAATTGACTGAACAAAGAAGGTGCTTCTCCTTTCCTTTCATCCCCACCGATGATGCCTGAATATTCCCGCCTACCAGGGAACACCCAACACACCTGTATTCTTCCTCCTCCTTCGAGTTCTTCTTAGGTTGGTATTTCTTCGAGAGATTCCTAGAAGAGAAAGGCGGGCCCGTCACTTGACACTGAGAGGGACTGGAGAAATCAGAAACGCAAGGTGAGGTTCGTGCTTTTGTTTACAAGTTGAAAATTAAATGATGGGGCTGGAGTGATAGTACAGCTGGGAGATTCAATCCCCTGCATCCCATAGGGTCCCCCAAGCACAGCAGGAGTGATTCCTGAGCGAAGAGCCAGGAGGAACCCCTGAGCATTGCTGCATGTGACCAAAAAAAAAAAAATGATGACGAGGGCACATCCCCAGCGCCCCATATGGTCCTGCAAGCACTGCCAGGAGTGATCCCTAATCAGGGAGCCAAGAGCAAGCTCCAAGCTCCACTGGATAATGGCCCAAACTCCCCCTACACCCCCACCCCCCAAATCTTGAGGCTCAGAGAGATGGTGTAAGGGATAAGGCTGACCCGGTCTGATCCCTACTACTGCATGTAGCCCCCATGAATAGCCCTTGGGTACTGCCAGATGTGACCCCCCCCCCATCATGAAATATATACATAGGTGAATCCCCTTATCCCTCCACCTTCCATCATGTGAAGGAAGACATTCCTCCTGAGACTGAGATGTTCCCCTCAAAGGCAGAACAGGGAACAGGCATGGTGGTGCAGCCTCTCACTTCCTGATGGGAACTGCAATGTGATCCGATGGAGTGGGGGCAGCAGAGGAGGCAGTTCCCTTCACTACTCTGCCCCGGCCAGCTTCTTACAAGAGCCTTAAGGGTGTCTTCAAAGGGAAGGTTGGGGAGGGCGGGTGGGACACTGGGGACATTGGTGGTGGGAGATGTGCACTGGTGGAGGGACGGGTGTTGATCATTGTATGACTGAAACTCAAACATGAAAGCTTTGTAACTGCATCCCACGGTGATTCAATAAAAATAAATAGAAATTTTAAAAAAGAGTATCTTCGAGAAAGCACACTGATGATGTCTCAAAAGAAAACTTTTGTTTTGTTTTATTTTGAGGTCACCCCCTCAGGGTTCCTCCCGGCTCTGCGCTTCAGGAATCCCTCCTGGCGGTGCTTGGGAGACCCCGTGGGATACCAGGGATTGAACCCAGTCAGCTGCATGCAAAGCAAATGGCCTCCCCGCTGTGCTATGGCACTGGTCCCTCAAGTGTTAAATTAAAAGGTCAAGTGTCAAGCCAGCGGAGTTCAAAGGGCTGTGGCGTTGGCCCTGCACATGGAAGCCCCGGGTTCAATTCGCAGCAGCACAGGGTCCACTGGCCAGGCCAGAGGTAGCTCCACATCACCCCCCAAAAAAATCTCCAAGCATTGAGCCAAGACTGTCCAATTGCTCACGGTCCAATCCCCTCCATAAAATTATGCTCGTGAACCCGATCTATCAATAAGTCTCCATGAAGGACAATATTTGAGGGATGTATTAGGATTGAACAACATTAGCAAAATTGTACAAATGCTCAGCCCAGCCCCAGGCCCTCTTCTCTCCTGGAGCCCAGGCACCCCAGTCTTCTCTGACCATCAGGAGCCAAGACACTAACTACCCTGGGGCACTTCATTCCCCACCCTCCCATCCCCTGCCTCTACTTCCCTGGAGAACACAGCCCCGGGACAGAGGCTGGGGTGCTAAGGGCATTTTGTTTTTGTTTTTGTTTTTTTTTTTTTGCTTTTTGAGTCACACCTGGTGATGCACAGAGGTTACTCCTGGCTCTACACTCAGGAATCACCCCTGGCGGTGCTCAGGGGAGCATATGGGATGCCGGGAACCGAACCCGGGTTGGCCGCGTGCAAGGCAAACGCCCTACCCGCTGTGCTATCGCTCCAGCCCCCAAGGGCACTTGTTTTGCCCTTGCCTTAAGACCTACTCCCCCCTCGTTCCTGGCTGTAATCCCCCCTTTCATTATTTCACATTTTGCCTCTTCCATTTACTAATAGAGTTCATAGAAAAATGGGCACTGCTTGGCGGTCCATGTGGCCTGTGAGTGATGGTGACTGTCCCTCACAAGGAGCGGAGACACATCCTGGGAACCCGGATCTGGGCCCGGCTGGTGGGATTTACCACAACTCTGGGCTTTCGAAATTCAAGGGAACCCAGAACATCCGACAGACGAGAGACGGTCGCAAGGAAAACACGTAGATGGCGGGCTCAGGGGCAGGGCACACACTTCACATGTGCGAAGCCCCGGGTCCGAGCCCTGGCACCAGAACACACATGACTGAAGGCAGGAGTAGGTCACAGTGTTAGTTACACCGGCTGAGATGCTAAAGGAAGAAAAGGGTTACTCCAAGGCTGGGATTGCAAGGCACTCACAAACACGGATCCAGTGTTCTCCACCGAGATGCGGGACCCATCAGCAGCTCTAGACGCTGAAGAGCAGGTAAAGACAAGATTTCCCGAAAAAAATTCCCCCCCACCAAAAAAATAGTAATAATCCAAGAGGGGCAGGGAAGGTCTTGCCTGTGGCCGACCCGGGTTTGATTTCCGGCCCCGTCAGGACCCCCTGAGCCCATCAGAGGTGATCCCTGTGCACAGAGCCAGAGGAAGGGCCCGAGAACCCCTGGATGTGACCCCGAAAGCAAATAAAAATAAAAGTATAGTGCCAAAGACACACTGTGTGAGTCAGCGCAGGGCACGGGTCTCTGAATTGGTTTATAAGCCGCCTCTGCAGTTTGACTCTTGGCCATGATGGCCAGGACTGGGGGTGGGGCTCAGAGCTGCTTCCAGCAGGTCTCGGGGACTCAGACAGTGCCACAGATGCCACCCAGGTCTCAGGCACCCCCTTGCTGAGCCGAGAATGGCCCCTTCATGGGGGATTTTAAAAGCAATACGGCAGCTCTGAGTCTCAGCGCGAAAGCAGAGCGCACGGGTCCCGGCTCCTCTCCCAGGCCTGTTCCCAGGGGGGTTTTCAGGCCGAGCTTTAGATATGGACCTTTTATTGATGGCGAGTGTGTGGGAGGGTGTCTTTCTGTTGCTGCTTAGAACCCAGGGACACCTGGTTTAACACCAGGGCCCAAGGATATCTGGCCACACCCTGCAGTGGTCAGGGGACCGTGCGAGGCAGGGAATCAAACCCAGGTCCGAGGTGTGCCCTCACCTCTGTCCTATCTCTCAGCCCCTGACAGTCACTGTTTTTCCTGTCAACTCCAACTTTTCTTTCTTTTTAAAAAAAAATTTTTATTCCCAGAGTTTTCTTTTTTGTTGTTGTTGTTGTTTTTGTTTTGGTCACACCTGGTGATGCTCAGAGGTTAATCCTGATTTCGCACCCAGAAATTACTCCTGGCAGTGCTTGGGGGACCCTATGGGATGCCAGGGATCGAACTCAGGTCAGCCGCATTGAAGGCAAATGCCCTCCCCATTCTACGGATCACTCCAGCCCAAACTCCAATTTTTTTTTCTTTTTTGGGTCACACCCGGCGATGCACAGGGCTTACTCCTGGCTCTGCATTCAGGAGTTACTCCTGGCTCCGGGGACCATATGGGATTCTGGGAATCGAATCTGGGTCAGCCACGTACAAGGCAAACGCCCTACCTGCTATGCTCTCTCTCCAGCCCCCAAACTCCAACTTTTAACTAAGAATATGCCTCCTAATTCCGAGTTCACCCCCTCAAGATCCTTTCTAGGGAGCTAGCTTAAAGGGTTATTTATTTAAATCACACTTTCTGGGACGGAAGCGTAGTCCACCAGGGAGGATGTTTGTCTTGCACGCAGATGACCCATGGTAAACTCCCGGCACCCCATAGGGTCCCCCTGAGCACTGTCAGGAGTAATTCCTGAGTGCAGAGCCAGAAGGAAGCCCTGAGCATTGCTGGGTATACAACCCTTCCACCAAAAAAAAAAAAAAAATCCACACTTTGTTTCTATGCCCATTCCTAAGCAGTCATGCGAATAATTTTGACCTCAAATCCAGCCAAAGGAAGGAGGCAGAAGCGAAACAGCATGCCAGCCCTTGGGCTCCCTTTGCCAGGCCCTCCTAAACAGGATTCAAGACGAGTGGTGGGCGATCTCCTGCCAAGACCCTCAAGGCCCAAGAATGGTCTCGCTCTGACTCTGTTCGCATAAAGAACATTCAAACTGCTTCTTAAGTGCACCCATGAATAATTCATGAGCCGGAAACTCAAAGCCTCGGAAATCTGGGAGTGAATCTCAAGCGTCAGGGAGCTTCCGGGGCGCCCCACTCTCCCAGGACAGGCCTTCCTGCCCCACACGCGCGAGGAATCACGAAAAACAGACCCACAAAGCAACCCCAAGATGCATCTTTAAATCTGTGGCTGTTTTTTGGCCTTGCACATGGCTGACCCGGGTTCAGTCCCTGGCATCCCCTACAGTCCCTCAAGAACCGCCAGGAGTGCTTTGTGAGCACGAAGCCAGGAGTAAGTCCTGGGTAATGCCAGGTGTGGCCTCCAAACAAAACCCAAAAAAATCTAAATAAATAAATCTGTGGGATGACTTTTCTGAGTGTTGGGTAAGCTGCATTGCTACTGATTAAAAGGCGTGGGGGAGGGGTGGTGTGGCACTGGCCCAAGAGATAGCGTAGAGGGGAGGGCACTTGCTTTGCATGTGGTTGACCCGGGTTCGATACCCAGCATCCCACAGGGTGCCCCGAGCACCGCCAAGAGTGATTCCTGAGTGCAGAGCCAGGAGGAACCCCTGAGCACTTCCAGGTGGGGCCCTTAAACAAAACAGAACAGAAAAGTGAGGAAAACAGCCTTTGGTCAACGTGTCTGATCCTCAGATCCACAGGTGGGCGGTGGGGGCATGCTTTGCAGGCGTGAGGGGGGTGATGAGGAGGAAGCTGGGAGCCATCCAAGGCCCTCCAGAGCTCTGAGAAGGCCCAGGGTTGGGCCCAGGAATGCTTTGTTTTGTTTTCCGATCTTTCTCTTACTTTTCAGAAAATGCACTCGCAGCTTCCCAGATGGGGCGCGTGGAATCGGGTTCAATGGGGGAATTGTGCCTTTTGCAAGAGCAGAAAACAAGAGTGAAGAAACGGCAGAGGCCAAGGCAATCTGAAATGCTGAAAGACAAAAC